GAAGCGATGAAGTCAGTCGCCTTCTAACTATGCCCACAATATTTGTAATGAAATATTTTCGGCATGTTATTAAAAACTAATGAAAATTTCCCTAATGGAATAATATTCACGCGGAAATGAATTTGTTTATTACCTTATTCCATAAAGGTCACTTCTGCCCGAGATTATAGTGAAGGATGAAAGGCAATAGGCTCTGAAGAGGTAAAAAAATGCTCACGCTAAAAGGAATTTACTATACAATAATATGTACAAAAAACAAACCGTACAATATTTCTAATAGAGCATTTTGCTTCATTAAGGGAAGAGCAGTAATGAAAAACGCGTTTTTTATATTAATAGTGCGTTGATAATTAATTTTTAATAACTACAATGAAATCTTAATCGTGCGCAATTGAAGTCCACGACGTAATTTATGCCATATATTAAAAGTTTAAGGGCCGGTTATATAAAACTGATAGCGCTATCCACCGGACAGCGGTTTTCCTCTTTAATAATTGTTGGTCCCAAAGATGATATTTAATCGCTTTCGAGCATTTTGAGAAATCATTATCTGCATGGTGGATATCCCATATAAGCATTTTGAACATCACTAGCATGTATTGAAGAATCATTGGCGCAATACGACAACAATAACAATAATAAAAACCTATATATCATTTGAATATAACAATTCATTTTAAACTATTCGAAGTTTCCTTTGTTCAACTGATTGTATGACCGATGAATAGCGAATGATTACATTCGTATAGTGTCGTAAGGAGACTGCACTGCAATGATAAATATCCTGTGTTACTTACGCAGTTCATGTTGAACACCCTTAAATATTAGTGCATGTTTCTCTTTTATGATTATTTTTTTGTTATTGCGATGATAAAATCGTAAACTAACCTTTCTAGTTTTAATGAGTTGCATTGGGAAAACATACTCAACCCCAAATGTTCAACTGTATAGCAGAAGGAGGCAATAAAAATTTCTATGAAATTTTAAACAAAAAGATAAATATAATTTTTATTGAAAATATTACAATGAATGCAATTGGCTGTGAAATTAAAAAAATATTTCGGTAATAATATTTTCAATTTCATTTACTAAATTTTAAAACGATGTAATTTAGCTCAGCTTTCAATTCACGTCATCTGTATCTATACATCATGGTATTTCTGGTAACATTTTACGCACATGCACGCTTCGTATCGACTTCACCTTAAAAGTTTTTTTCAAAACAGCAGCGAGTTGTTTTTTGGTCATAATGATTGACTAAGTAAGTGACGGATCAAGGATTAGGCAGAATAAATTGCGCAGCCGGCTTAACTTAAATTTAAAATAGCTGCAATAATAACAAAGCTATCGATTTCGATTTTCTAAAGAATATTCCTTAGCGAAAAAAACGTTGCGAATTATTTCGAAGTTCTAAAGAGAAAGAAGAGGAGAACGAAGCAAGAAGAGAACATTAATGAACATTAGTCACACCTTGTAAAGATCTCTTACCTGGCGTAGAAAATAAAAACCAATTAACAATAGTATGCGCGTCCATGCACAAGGCCTATACGCTTGAAAAATCATATCCTCAAAAGGGTATCCTAAAATAAATTCATTATTACCGAATTTTCAAACTGGGCCATAGATATGCATGGCAGCAACACGTTCTCATTTTGGCAAACGTAAAAACGAATGCTGGTTTTATTAATCTCACTGTTTTAAATTCTATAATTATAAGTTCATATTGCAAGTTTGTTTTGTGTTCATTCGTGCTCCCGCTTTCGAACAGCAACGTATCGCGGACTCATGGAGCGAAGTAATTGATGATGAAATGAAATCATAACTGCAATATTAAGGCCCACACACGCTATTATAGTGGTGTACATTCATTTCTGACGACATCATAAATGTTAGAGTTAGGGTTAAGTATACTAAGAATTATTAGTCTGCCCGGTGACCGAATTCTTGGATTTCGGTGCGCATTTTGCCTTTCGCCTGAAGGCTTCTACAAGTTTCCTATCCAGAACCCCGTAGATGAATGGGTTAACTGATGACGCGCCAATCATGTACGAAAGATAAAACCAGCCTGCATAGTCGCCTCCCAAAGCTCCACAATCATTTACATTGCAAATCCACCATATTTCAAAAGGGAACAACATCGCTGAGAAAACTCCTACGCTTACAACACTTATAAGAAAGGTCCGGGTGTTTCGATGATGCCGAATCTTTTGGAAATGCTCCAACGTTCCAGCTGATGTTTCCTGACCATTTGATGTTGTTTCATCCTGCAGTATGGAGTTCATTTTCTGAGACTGTTTCACTAAGGCCTTACAAATTCTAAAATAGAGAATTGCCATGACTAATACGGGTAATGCATAATGAAAATTCAAAGAAAGCAGGGTGTAAAAAAGCCCTAATGTTTTGTTCGACCAATTTATTTGGCATCCTTTTAATGGGCTGTATTCTTGGGCAAAACCGTAGGGGACAAGATAGGTGTTTATTGCCAGAAAGAGAATGAGAAGAATTAGTTGCAAGGTTCTTCGACGAATAGGGCGCTTCAAAGGCTGCAAAACTGCACGGTATCGAAGAATACAAATAACAGCCATTAGTTCCACTCCAAAGGTACAAAGGAGCATCTCAAAATGCATCCAAATTTTGCAAGCAATTGTGTTTGGTAACAACCATGTTGTGGACCAGTCTGCGTAGTTTATTCGTGAAGCTGTTGACAAATGGATTGCATCGACAATTGCCAAGACTAGTACAAGATAATAGTAGTTACTTTTGAGCAACCGTCGTTCCCTCATAATGGAGTATATTACCAGAGAGTTTCCTATGAAGCCACATATTATAACAAAGGTCAAGAGCGTTCCAACAAAGTAGTCATTCCACATCATGATTTTGTATACCAAGGCTTTTTCGAATAAATATACTGATTTTGATTAGGCGGCAGCTACTGCGATGACTTCTAGTTTTCGGACTAGATTATAGTTCAATGACTGTATGCAAAATGCATTTGATGAACCTGACTTGCCTTTTGCGACTCCCAATGTCTTTCACAAACTATGTTCATGAACGTCGACCGGCGTTCGATCAATCTTTTAAATCTTTTTATTATATTTACATTTCGACTGCCATAGTTAATGACATTTAGATATATATTTATTAAACCAACTAATGAGAACTGGTTTAATGTTGACCTAATAGTTTACGCGTTAATAACAGGATTCGTTTTCCAGTAATATTTTCCATTTGCAGTAATAAAAGCCCTCTTTTCAGATACCTCATTGAATTAACCTCTTTGTGATATGTTTTCATCCTCATTTAGACTGTAAAGGCAGTCATAATTATCCTTTAATATCCTGCCGTGAATGACATTTAATAAATCTTGTCACCAAAACATATTTTGTTGTGTATTTAATACAAATGCATGCATCTATCCGGAATTGTTTTCATGATAAAATTTAATTATTTCCCACATATTATTTAAACTCCCAATATTAAAATTTTTCCAATTAATGAAGTAATAATGGTGGCTAAACAAATACAGCTGGCATCATATCTTTTGTTGTTATGGATGTTATCACATATTTTGTTGTTATAGAAACCGTACCCATGCAAATATCCGCAGGGGGCCTGGTGGAGAGTAGTCTAAGTGTTATTGTAAGCTACCAACTCACTACTCATTGTGTCATCTTATATTCAATGAGTGGCTAAACAGCCAGCTGTAGAAATTGTGGTCATGTGATCAATAAAAGTTTTGGCAGATTTCGTTGTTTTTATACATATATCTTTATAAAATGTTACAAAGTTCTAGCGCAGTTAACATGGTTTGGAGACAAAATAAAAGTATAATACAACTCATTAACTATGTTATTACGTTAACTCCTCATGTGTTTATTGTATTTTAGCCAAACGTGCCAACGGCATTCGTATTGCTAAGCTCCTAAACCTGGACTTAAAAGACATGTTAATTAAAAGATTGCTATTGGGTTATCTGTGCAAAATACAAATAAACATGCGAGGAAAAAAGTATTTTTGCATAAAAAAATTAATAATGAGTTGTATTGTAGTTTTATGTGGTCTCCATTCAAACCATGTATATTCTATTAACCGTGGTTCTAGCTATATTAGAAACAATTATATTCAGTGGCTAATTCTAGTGCGGAGGCTATAGAGGGTGCGAAAAATCCTTCCTGGGCCTTGAACAGTAGCGTAGCAAGCCTGAAGATTTGTCCCACTCTGCTAATATTTTGATTTTCATTGAATTTCTGAAAGTATTTATTTAACACTGAATTCTTGATGACACGAATACTTATAGTAACTCACACAGCGGGAATTTACACAGCGGGACAAAATTGTCAGGCTGGCTACCCCACTGGTCTTGAGATGTCATCACTTCGCAATTTGTAACAAATTCAATAGACCTTTCCCCTTTTAGCTTTCAAGCGCGCACTGCATGACGGAGTTGATCATCAAACAACTTTGAGTTGCGATATCTCCCTGCTTAGAAGCGTTTTGTAAGAAAACCTTCCCGAGTCTTTTTGCTTCTTTGTTAAACTAAATCGTTCCTGTACATGGCGAAATCATAACTCAAATTGACCTTGATGATCAACTACCGTCACGCAAAGCTCGCTTGAAAGCTAAAAGGGAAAAGCTATAGGTCTATTTAGTTGTATTAAATTTCCCATTAAAACTGAAAGCCCAGGAGCACAACATCCTCAAGGCCAAAACAAGACTCGATCATCATTGGGCAATTGACTGACTGTGAATGCCTACCGTAACAAGATATGCATGTGTAACACAAGAATTCTTACTTGTATAGTCCTATTGTATAATCATTCCTTATACTGTGGTCACTTTCTTCTTCTAAATTTAAATATAGGTGTAGATGTCACCCCACCCCCCACCCCCCACTCGCAACGCCGCTGATCTTTGCCGACTATATCACGGCAGGGTGCTACCAAAACAATTGTCAACATAATTATTGTTTTATTGATTATATTTATTTCATTTTTGGCAAAAATGCATACGTTAAAGATTAATGAACACTGACTGAACAAATATTTTGGCGTAAATATGGGTAAGCAAGAGCTATATTTAACCACAAACCATGTTTGGCGATTGTTTTAAATCCCTTTTTGCCACGATTCATACGAAAGTTTCATCACCTGGAAGAATTCAAACTAATACATTCTGTTCTTGTCTAAATGTTTCAACCTCTTTCCAGTTCAGTATGGCTGTAATCTACACTTAATATAATTATACAACGTTTACTTAATATTAATTTCATTAAATTAACGGAGGTTTTATGTCAGTTATCATGTAAAATTATATCAATCTATTTTGTGTAAGTTCGTCATAATTATAGCCCTCCAGTTTAGGACATTGGGAATCGTTATCCAAATCGACATCCGACATACTTCCTTTTAGCAAGTCGTTCCAACTGACCAAGTTTCCACCACCGCATGCGCAATTGGTTGCGATTCTTTTAATTCTAAATGAAGGATATTGATCCCAGAAATTTACCTGGAACAGGCTACCGTCAAACCTCTCGCCGGCCATTCCTCGAGTTCGCCCAAGCATTAAAGAACCTGGTCGCCTTTTTAGGTTGTTCTGATTTTCGAAGTCACAAGCGACATTGGGCAGGCTGTCTGTAAGTAGCACTTTGCTGTCCTGGTATACCTCAAGCAAGTATTTTGGGTTTAGAGAAATGCAGATTTGGTGAAATTTGCCGTCACTTACATCGCAGTTGGTAACCGTTCTGAAAGTAGAATAAGATTGGTTTGTGTCTACTAACAGAGGTAGTACCTACGGCAGTGCAAAAAGCAGAATCATATCATGGCGGAAGATAGACCACTTAAATTACAACAGATTTAACTGTTAAGATCTATTTTTTTATATCACATAGTGTCTCACCCACAAAATGTTTCTTCATCTCGCCAATTATATTATATGAATATTCACCTTCATTAAGCAGTCTAGCTGATATATCAATTGCATTAATTGAGTAAGTGTTTTCATATTTGGTACATCGAAAGAATTTCAAGTGAACGACTTATTCATCACGTGAAGGTTTATTGAAATGGAACTTCATTTATTATAATTAATGATCCTTACGTTCGAAAATTAAATTCCTGATCTTCAGGAAATAACTTTAACAGTTCATACAGAAGGCACATACACGCTGGTTCTAATGAGAATGTTGCCCGGGGACGTAGGCAGGGGGGGAGTTGTAGGAGCCGCGGCTCCCTCCCTTTGAAAATTTTATTGCTAATATTCACTTACTTCGAAATGAATTAATTTAATTAAGAAGAATCAAATCTACTCTGTCTTTAAAGTATGTTTGTTTTACTAAGCCCGGGCTGAAACTCCGTGTTATTGTCAAGCAAGCTGAAACTCTTGCCTTGCACCCGTCCCTCCCCTCTTTAAGGCCTGGCTACGTCCTGTTGTAGCCACATACTCGCATTTTTCTATTCCAACTAACCTTGTTGTGTGTTGATTACCAATTTCAAGTCTCAACATTCCGCTCATGAGGCTTACGTTGATGACGTTCTTTGGTTTTTCCGTCGCTTTCTTCTGAGTTGGCGTAGGTCTCGGAGTTGGTTTTCGAAACCATCTCGGAATAACTTTCTGCTCTTTGGTTTTGGTTTTCGGATTCTGTGTAGGCGTTTGCATTTGATTTTTTTCCGTTACTGAAATAAGTTGGGCATTTCGGGTTTTCGTCTTTATCCAGAAACATAGAACGAAGGTTATGTTAAGTGGAAGATTAAAGTCCGTAGAGAGAGAACTGTATTCTGAGGGGGCCTGAGTAGTGACGTCTGGTTTCTTAGTTGTGATCGGGTATACAGGATATGGTTGTGGCTTCCTGAAAAAAATGTGTGGTAAGTGCTTGCGAATGTGCCAGAATTTGTATTGATTCAATCGAGGAGGTGGCCTTTTGCCTTGGCCTTTTGACTTTTGCCTCTGAGCGTCAGGGTTGGCGTCTTCGAACGACGAGCTCGAGAGTTCGCGTTTTCTTCGAGCGGCAGCATTACCAAAAGCAACTCCCCTGATAGCATTTCCTACGAATAGGTGCAAAAGAAAGAGAGAAATGAGTGTTTAATAGGTATAGTCTACACGATCACTAGTCAGACACAACCCGTCCTGTGCAACACGATGCCATGACGAAACCATCTTGCTGATGATGTATTGCTCAATGCATACAGGGAGTTATTTCATGCCGTTATGTACCAACCTTTCAATTTAGGCGGGGAATGAAAATTTATTATCCTGTTCCATGCATCTACATAAATTTCGTCTTAATTAAGTAATGGCAAAACTCTGATGGTGTAGAATGTAATAACGTGGGTCTCCAATGGGAGAATTCAAGACGATGTCTACGCAATTTACTAAAAGACCATTTTAGCTTGCATGCAAACTAAGCCATTTTAGATGTTGCTACCATGGCATACAGCCAATGAAACTTAACCATTTCAGGCCACGTGGTTTGAAATGATTGATTTGAATACAAGTTGAAAAGTCTATTACCGCGAATAGCGTCGAATCTTAATTTCAACAGCTCTATCTTTCACAATCTCAAGCATGTAATATTTATTCTACATACCCGGATCAATAGTAATAAATAGTTGAGTTGGTTCCCTATGAGCCTGGTTTATGATTTTTTTCAAAGTTGCTTTTCCATTTCCATCACAAGATAAATAGTGACCTTTGAACTTCACGGATTGATAAACTGTAAACAATCGGTGCTCGTACAAGAGTCTTTCTGGTGCGAACGTATTTCGGTGGTCTGTCTCCTTTTCGCCGTCACTCGCTGGCTAAAGACAAATTTAAAAATTACAGTTTTTTTACGAGATTTTTAACAAGTATATTTAACAATTAGACAACGAGTCCGAGTTGTCTATGAGCGAATAGTCAACGAGGCGAAGCCGAGTTGACTATTTGCTCATAGACAACGAGGCCGAGTTGTCTAATTGTTTTAGTATAAACTATAACATTAATTTACAACTAGGAAACACAATATAAAATTCTTGTTGGCTTGCAAACCATTCTGAAATTTATTTCGTATATTAAAGGAAGAAAATATTTTAATTGTTGTTCGCGTAAAATGTTTTAAAATTCAGTTTAAATATAAAAATTCAATTGAGTATACGTTATTTTTATGTATTTTCTTACCCTTAAAAATTGCAATTCCGTATTTTGTTGCTTTTTTTGTTTTTTCTGGTACGGAATTGTCCAACAAGTCGTCCAAAAAATCTTCAGATACTTCGGCGAAACGCGAATTTTCCGCCATTGTTTTGAATTTTGCTACTAGTAGGCTATCACTAATAGCCTACCAGTAGCGTAGCCAATCAGAACGCAGGAAAAGTGATAGCCTATTAGTCAGTTTATACTAATATTTAATAGACAAGGTGCAGACAGTAGCGTTACCAGACTAATGATTTGTCCCGCTATGCTAATAATTTTATATTGGTGCTCATTGCCTGTGAAAACAGTGAATTTCTAAAGAAATGAATAACTATATTAACACGAAATTTACATAGCGGGACAAAATCGTCAGGTTGGCTACGTTGCGGGGTGCAACATTATTTTCAGTTTAAAAAAAGGTGGTCACGTTTGTTCAATGCACGTTAACGAAATTTATTCCACTCTTTCAAACTCGTATTGTCATTATTGAGGATCATAAGGTAAAATGCAATGGTTAAAGTTATTTTCTCAATACAAAAAAAAAATTACCTTAAAAGTTACCAAATACTCTGAACAACATAATGCTGACACCATTTAGATGACAACTTTAGAAACGTTTTCACTTATGGTAGATACCTAAATTTTGTTCAGTTTACCTCAGATTTAAAGCTTTGCGTTATACAGTAGTTTTTTAATTTACACAAAACGTATAGATTCAATCAGCGTATCAAATTTTAGACGTAAGTCGGAAAATAACACACTGTGGACAATCATTTGCAAAGTTTGAGGGAGTATTTTTCTCTACTGAATGTTTCATTTTATCTGCGCGCCCTAATTATATACAAGAATTAATGAAACGAAATCAGTGTACAAATTCGTTATAAAAGAAAATGCCAAAACATACAAGAAGCAATATATTCTTACCATTGCCAAGAGTTCTCCTTCAGCTGAAGGTGCATAAAGATGATAACGGTTGCCGCCGCTGGCAAAAACCAATTGAATTCTTACTCCAACGATATTGGGTATGTCACGTGTTAGTAACAAAGCTGTAAAACATATCACGCAATTGCGTTAGCGTTTTCACGCCGGCACAAAGCACAACTTTTTCGAATCTATCTTTTCAGACTTAAGATTCGTATAAAATGTATAGCATATTATTCAATTTACCCGAACAACTTGACAGATAATTATAGGGAAAAAAATTAATAGCTACTTTATGATTGTACAAACAGTGACGTACTATAATAGCTTCTCATTAACCAAGCGTGAGGTTCATAAAAAGTTTATTATATGGCATAACAGGGGTGGATCCAGCACTAGTGCACTAATTTGCGTGACACAAGAAAACTGCTGAGAATAGCAATTTTGTTTTGTAATGCAAATTAGTGCACTAGTGCTGGATCCACCCCTGCATAAGGCATTTATTTGCACATGAAACAAACAAGAAATGCATAAATTCATATTAGCTAGTAGACCAAAAACCATGATCAGCCGACAATTTGAAAAAGTAAGGTAAAAAGCAAATTCCGAATAAACAAGACATCTTGAGAATTAAATTATATATATATTTTTTGATTTTGAATCTTGAATTAAGGCTTTCAGTAACCTGGTACGCATTTGATAAAAACAAAAACAAAATATTGAATTATCTAGTTTACCCAAACTGTTACCTAAACTCTCATAATTTCAAAAGCAATTATATTTTCTCTTGAGCATTTATTTGTGCCTTTCATATATTAGATTCATTCATCACCTGTAACGCCGGTCCATTATGGGAAAGTGCCGTTCTATTACGGGAAAGTAATATGGAATGCTAAAAATTCTTCTCAGCCAATCACTGAGCTCCATTGCACCGGGAGTGACGCTTGCCATATAATAATAATTATTGTGCAAATTTTGCTATCAGACCGAGACTTTTCTCTCTCACAGCAATTTTTGGGCATGGCGCTTATAGGCGAACTTGACTATGAGAGTTACCAGTTCCGTAGATATCTTAGAACATTAATTTCTGTTCAATTTTTGATGGATCTAGCTCTTAAAAATCCCTATTAAACTATGCATGCTCATTTAAATTTGAAACAAATTTCCAGTTAGGCATACTTGTTAGTTTATCACTTTGCACTCCGCCTGAACAATCGACTTTTCTGTGATTTACGTTGTTATCGGCATTATTATTTGTTATTCGTAGATATCTATCGCCTGCACGACTCATCAACGACCATATTCTCAATACAACATCTCCACAAACTAAACATGGCTGAGCCTGTGGTTCAGCGAAATGTAGCTAGAAAAAAATAATATAAAAAACTACAATTAGGGGGGTTCAACAGAGAGTTCTTTGTAGATTTTAGGTAAAATTTTGAAAGTTTTTTCTCCTTACTAATTCTCCGTAGTTGATTGAGGTTTGGGTCATTGGGTGAAAGTATGCGGAAACTGATGATCATAAAGACAAAATGTGACCGTTCAAAACATTAAATTCAGAACCTTCGACAGGAATCGAACCGACGTGTTGGTCACTTTAATTAACGACCAATCATGGAATTATCGCAATGAGATAAATAATTTAAGTTGGAGCGGTGACGAATAATTTTCATACCTACACCCGATCCATATTCATTAAGATTTTGTGGCATTCTACTCAATGTGGCAATTTACTAGCCATGCTCGTTTTGTCCCCTGTATATTAGTATCAACTTTTATGTAACTTTCATAGATAACTTTGCATGAAATCGTTAATTGCAATTTATTTCAAGACGATTCAATAGTGTTAGCTATAATTATATCGACCATTGAACTTACCAGGGTTAGCATGTAGAAGGCAAGAGCGTATATTGTTAAGTTCATCTTCAATTGTTCTGTGAAAAGAAATTAGATTAAATTGCTATACATGCATGGTATATATTTTATGAATAATTACTCGTCAATATGGTTAATCATCGGTTTGGGTGAACAAAATTGTCTACGTAAGGCAGTTGCTTAACCATGAATAAGTGTATATTTGATGAGAATCTATTGGATAAATCCTTGCTGCTTCCTGGATATATCTTCTGACACAATACAAGATAGTGCACTGGTTACTTTAGAAATATTATTGTGTGCGTCATCTTTATTTCAGGGTCTGGTTGAATAATTACATACGTTGCGAGATCAAAGATTTTTTAAACTTAAGTTAAGTATGATCATGAATTATGAGCACACGCTATAAAATTATTCATTAAGTCGTGGTAGAAATAGTGTCGATTAATGGCAAGGAACTTTAACTTCTTACAAAAGAATGCCTAAAAATTAATCATTATCATACAATTAGAAATTTTTCCAGCTTATGTTTTGTCAATACCTCTTTTTGGGTTCTAGCTGTTAGACTAATACATGCCTTATTACATCGGATTACATCTATCGAGTCCGTGCATGAGTATCTAATTTGAAAGTAAACCATTTTTTTAATAAATCTTTACGATACAATGAAGTTACAATCATCCTCGTATTAAAGCGCTGAAAAACATATAAAATTGTAAAATATATAATATCGTCTTCAGTATATTTCTGTGGTCATGATGACAACGACGAAATAGAATTTCCCTCAGTGACGGCATGTTTAGTATGGGAGGTCCGGGTACAGTTAGGCTCGCTTAATAGCAGCGAAAATTTTTCGAAAATTTTCTTTGATATATATATGAGAAGTTATAGCATTCGAATTTTTAACAGATTCCATTTGCCGAAAAGCATACATCAAAGAGTTTTAAGCCTGTTTGGTGGGATGATCAGACGTGCATTACCATCGTGAGTGCGACAGTTTAAAATTTGCATTTCGTCACAAGATGATTAAAGAAATCATTGAATGGATTATGGCTCCCACTCAAACATGATATAGTACGACAAAAATTGATGAGGATAAGCCTATATAAGATCAATATTTACGAGACATTCCTGAATAAAACCGGTAAAAATAATGTAGTGTATCAATATAATGTACATGCAAGTCATTAAGGAATTCCTTGTACTATTAGCTTCCTCATTTCTTAAGCTTCCCACGCTTTCTGTTTCAGTGGGATTTGGTTTTTAGCTAGCGCAATATGGAATTTCGTTTATAAGTACTCCCATATAATTTAATTTTCATAAAGTAATTACAATCTTTACGTCAGCCAATATATATATATTTCAAACAAGTTCTTTTTCTCATATTCCCTGTTACTTTTTTACCTCAATACAGGAACGAACAATCTTTAATATAAATGCAGTTGCATAATTTTTTATGTACAAAGATGACAATCCGAGGCCAATATTCAATGCCGTAGATAGGATGTATAGTTTAGAGGGGGGGGGGGGGGGGGGAAGTAGGGGGTAACGACCAAATATTTCCGAATCAAAACAGATTTTTTTAGTAGTTCCTACCGTAGTAAGAAGAAAAAAAGGTGCTATAAGTATAAGTAAACTTTTGCCTACTAAGACATGTTTCACTGCATCTGATCGATGATTTTAAAAGATGTGATTTAGGAATGTTTACAAAAGGGTCTATAGAACGGTTTTTCCGAATATGTCAATTCAACAAAAGTTGCGGGGATTAACCACCCCCCAATACCCCTCAACGCCACTGCACTGCCAACATTTCTTGAACAGAGTTCTTTACTAACAGGCGGGCCGAAAAAAAGTGACATATTTACATTTTATGCATGAAAATTCAAATTTATAAGATAAAAGTTTATAAATCCAACCGTCCCCGCCTCGGGGCAGAATTATATTTATAGTTGGAACTCGAAGAAATCGTTGGGAATGTAGATTAAAACACATTAAATTTACAAATTAATCAATTACTATCCCTTCGGATTTATCAGTCGAAGCTAGTCGATATATTTCATTCAGGGCATATTAACATATAGAAATGCATTCGAATCCCAATAATCTTCTTTGCAACACTTAAAGATTATTAATTTACATACACATAAAGACAATATCATGATTATTCTGAAAGCATTCTTTGTGGCGAACTGTTAGCAATCATCCTATGTGCTTGTGGATGTTCAGATGAAGGACTTTGTTACTATGGAAGACAGTGTGTCATGCCCACGAATTTCAAACATTCTTAATTAAGAAACTGATTCTTCAATGCAATGTTTGATTCAAACAAAATATATAAATCTTTGTTAGTTCCGTTTAGGTTATTCAATCCATAGGAAACATTTTAGTTCGAAACTAAGTTCTGATGATCGGAATGGGCAAATAGCGTGAAGAAACCCACGTAATCAGTTAAAAATACGTTAAATTTCGATCAACAACAAAAAGCGATCTTTTGCTAAAACTATTTAAAGATTTACATTATAAATGAGCCTATAGCACTAAAAGAAACAATTATGATTATAAATAGCGACTGGCGTGGGTCATGCAATGTACTGTACCTAACCAGTTCGCTAATATTTTTCCTCAAGGATACGGTTATATGCCTATAATCATGTGGGTTCGATATCATGTAACATTTACGTTAAAATACAACTTTTGGCCTGTTTATAGACACGGTTATAATTGTTATTCCTGCCCCGATTAACACCTTGAACTGATGTAAAATGCTTTGAAGGAAGTGACACCATTAATATTAACAAGCAATTAATAAACAAAAACTTTCCTCATGAATACAAAGGTTTAATATGGTTTGATGTAAACGAAACAGCGGGCAGTCTTGCAGAGATTTAAAATTCCCTAATCTAAGTCTTCTGGCGTCCAATCAGCAATAATTTTACGGAAATATTACGGAAATAATTTTTTAATCTATTTACCTTGGAATCCTGTGGCTAATTCCTTTTAATAAAACGATACAAGGGTAGATTTTTGCAGAAAGATGGAAAGACAGTGTATTTGTAGGTAAATGTGCGTGCTCACTTTATACCATCAAACACTGCAGTTTTTATTTGATACGTTTCATGTAACGGTTTTTCTTGAAGGAAATACAACCATGCAAGCACGTAAATTTCATGTAACTAATTAGAAGTCTATCTTTCAAAGACACTACCTAATATAGATATATCTATGATATTATCAACAGATGAATACTTGTAAATTGTAATTACGAAATTATATTTTATCAGAAAAGGACTTACCCAATATGGACTCGGCTTTAACTCCCTTTATCCAATGTGTTGAAGCCTACTGACTAAGCTGAAAACCGGTAGTGACTAAATGCACAACAATAATCTTCTCTGTCGATGACGGCTGATTTATATAAGCCATGCTGTTTCTACGTTATATCATAAATTATTGATTTACGATCCATTGCTGAAAGTTCTTTCTTCTATACAAAGGAAGTTCCCACCTTTGTTTAAAAATTGGTGGAAAGAAAGAAACTTCGACCTATATACAGCGGACCGGATATTATGCAAAACATTAACTTATTGTAATTCTAGTTCAAAGGTTTTTAGTCAAGGTATAATGTGCATGCCTATAAAATTATTACTCAGTCATAATATACTGCAGTATAATTATGTTCAGTTTATTTAAGGTTCAGTTTGTTTTACGAGTATATAACGTGACATACAAATTGGTAAACCTGGTACTGATGTACTGTATTTTCCGGATAATCTACACGAAGCCATAAATTGAGGTAAATGCAATGCATTAGAATTGTTTCAACTGCATAGCCAGGCTTCATTTTGTAGTTGGATAGGGCATACATATGCATAATGTAAATAATTTGCCAATGCCACCTGAATACAAACATTAGTGATATTATAAACCGTGGTGTTTGGAAATGTTTCATAAAAGTTATATTAATTTTGAAAATTGTTTTCCCCAACCATTCTGAATTCTCGAAACCGTAATGGTTCTTAAAACAAGCGATTGTCACAAAAGAAGTACAAAGACACATTTCTGGATACTTTAAAAATTGCTTACATCATGAATGTGATTTTACAAAGTTCCTTGTCAATAGAAACTTAAATTGGTCTTTATGAAGTTTAAGTTCCTTTCTGATCGCATTAGAAAGAAGAATTTACGAACCCTTAATATAATAGTTTCATGAAAACTGAAACCTTTTATGTTTGTAGCATATGAAAACATTTGTTATGCGAACCTTTTATGTAATTGTACGTACATAGCTTAGTAGCCGGAGTGTTATATACTAAATAGAGAATAATGTTTGAATGTTGAGTGTAAGTCCTACTTGTCCTGATATGCATAAACTTTAAATTTTTATTTCTCAGCTATCTAGACTGTCATATTTATTTTTAAAATTATTTTTTCAAATGAACTAATTAGTTAGGTCGTTGTAAATAAAAATTATACTACACATTTGCGTTT